GTGGTCAAAGTGGACTCGTAGCAGTGTGGGGTGGTGGTTAACGTGTTAAGATTATGCGCTACACTACCATGTTTCGAATCCGCCTGGAGGTGCTGCTGAGACCTATGGGAGATAAAAACTGCAGTTCAGCCTAGATGAGGATGCCTTTTGGGAAGCAAGATTATGCAAAATTCGGTGGAAACGTGAGGCCTACTTATATAATTAGTGAAAAATTCATCATAAGCCCTTAATTACCTGAATATCTCTCATGAATATGCATATATGCATATACATACACACATACATAGATATATACGTCTCATATATAGTTGTCGCGAGTTCTCGCTGCCTTACAGAGGTCATAGTTGCTCACCCATAACCCTCGTGCATCTCCGAAAAACTGGCCCCGTGATATTTCCTGCCGATTGCTATGTATGATATTACCTCAGAGCTACTGAAGATATGTGTTTATTCTAGATCAAGTAGTACCTTTTTATCTCCTCCTGATATCAAATCGATCCTCCAACGTATCTCATATGGTAAATTCAATGGTGAAAGTTAAACTTTGTGATCGCATGGAGTAGAATTTCAAGGCTATCAGCGACGCTAAGTCGCTTAAAGTGATGCAGGACTGATAGTGAATTTTCCCATAATGAGATGAGTAGCCTCATGATTCCATAGAAATTTGATACTCTTGCCTCCCGAAAGGTATTCTCAGCTAGAATAGACTCCACTTTCAACATCGACTGGATTTCATTAGCATCCCCTGGCAAGAATCGACCACGAGTAGTATAGCATCTCACTGCTTATAATATACCTATTAGCCACCAATGTCAGTCTGTCACAAGGAAAAAGTGAGTTCCGAGGTAAGCTAGTCCTCTCCCAACTCCCATTTTATGGTGGAATTTTTTTTAAGTAAACATGTATCTTTTATTACAGTCGACAACCTTACTCGTATTCGCATTAAGTAAGATTTCGAGACTATTTGTAGGTATTAAATAAGAGCTCTACTCATTTTAGGTCGTTCAAGGTGATGGATAGCTGATAGTGAATGTTCCCATAATGACATAAGTAGATCTCATGATGTTATGAAATCTCACGTTTCCTAAAATATATGCGAATAAAAGTTTGGTTTTGAGGAGTCTCTTGGCCTGTAATTTTTGAGCTCAATTCCATTTAGAGCGAAGGTGTTTGGTGAAGAGATTCGAAAGCCGATTCCACCAGAAGACGAAGGTTGATTGGCTTAACTGGAGCATACTTATTGACGCTTCTTCCGAGGCAATCTCTTTAGATTTTGGTAAAAACATGCTAAGATTTGGTTCGTCATATGATGGACATCATCACAGCAGGGTATCATTCTTACAACCATATTCAAGCTAACGAGTCAAGAAAACTATCCTGTCCCATCAGTATCCATTACCAGATTCAATACCTAGTCGTAAGTATGGTGGTGACATTAACACTCCACTCCACTATCACGATATTCAATTTCGAATTGAGTAGCTGCTCACACTTAGTCGCCTTTGATCGCTTAGGATGAATTAATAACAGACAGTTGAATATTCATGAGGTAGATTCGCTCTATTTCGTTTACTAGGATAAGGAGACTAGTGGTTGAATTTACCCACAATAATATGAGTAGACCTTACGTTTCTATTGAATCTTGCATAGTCTTTCTTTCCCATAAGGTATTCTCATCCAGGGTAAACTACATATTCGACCTCGCCTAGGTCTTGTCAACATCACAAGTTGGAATCGAACCATGCGAGTAAGGCATATAAGCTCAACCTTTTAACCACTACGCCACAACGCCACAACGCTACATCGTCACGAGTGCCCTTAGGTCACTGGGCAGATGTAAATTTCAATGAAGGCCAGGCATTATTGTTTCATTTGCTATAGCTGTCGACTGCATTACTATGAGTAGGTTTTCGAGACTACCAGTAGATCATATAAATGAGGTTTACAGATGAGGTATATACGAGGACTCGAGCAATAACAAGGCAGTGGATAAACTCGAATACAACTTTGCTTCATCGACAGTCCCACCACAGAATGTGAGATGAGAAGATTTCTGGACTTCGTGGAGATGTGGCATAGTAGTTAACATGTCGAGCTTATATGTTGCCCTGTCAAGGTTCGAGTCCCACTGGGTATGTTGACGATACCTAGGCGAGATCGAAGCTGCAGTTGACCATGGATGAGAATACCTTTTAGGAAAGAAAGGCTATGCGGGATTCAATGGAAACTTAAGGTCTATTCACATCCTTATGGTAAAAGTCAACTTCATGTGCCCTTACAACCTTAAGCGAAATAGGATGAATTCACCTAATATAAATGATCTGCTAATAGTCTCAAAAACCTACGTATAAATGAAAAATAAGTATCTCACGACGACGTTCAATTTTGCTTAGTCTTGCTTCTCAATGTCGAAACGTACACTGAAAATAAGTTCTTTAATATTTTTATTTTTGTCTATTCCATAGGTCGCTTTTATGACGGAGTTTATATATTAGAGCTGCACATGATTACATGGGGCGTAATAGTATTCCATTAAGCGAATTTTAATATGCTGCCCCTTAAAGTTCAATAACTTATTTTGATAACCTTTTTGATAAATGAATAAGATAAGCTGAAATCAAAAATGAATTTCAACTTGGAACAGGAAATATAATCAGGCGAAACTCAGTGGCATTTAACATTGGAGGGAATTTACCAGGAGGCTGATTGCTAGAAAGGTGCATCGTTTGTACTATGGTTTTTTGATGAACTTATAATGATAAAACACATGATGACTTAAAGAAAAGTCTTGATATCTATTAGAAATTTGTTTCACCATTTATCCAAGAGGCCGACCTCAAATATAGTGGGCAGTAGTTTCCACCTTGCTTAGGACTCATCAAACTCCTCAGCGGGATCCAAAAAGATAACTTTCTGGTTCAGGAGCAGACAAGTTACGACCTTGAGCATACATCCCTGGTGAGTCAGGTAACATGCATGACTTTCATGACTTTCAGCTCAGCTCAAATTCTAAAAGTGGACTCTTGAGAATAAAGGTTAGCAAGTGTTTGCTTACGTATTCGAGGATTAAGAAAATGCCTATTCTTCACTTCGGTATAGGCAACGAGTAATACCAATCGTTATAGTTAAGGTTTTGGCTTTGAAATATTTAGTTTATTCGTGGCTTATTAAATATGAGTTATATTCACTCTAGATTGCTTATAATGAAGAAGGGCTAATGGTTGCATTTACATAATTATATGGGCAGGCCCCCCATTCCTTTGAATTTCACTTAGCCTTAGAAGATATGAAGATCAAGATGGTGTGGTCCAGATATGGTCGAAGTCTTCCTTTGATTTATAGAAATGGGTTGACCTCATTGTCGCAACTTGGTCTTGTTGTCATGGCGACTTACTAGAACACACCTAGTCCGAAGTCTTCTGTCATAGTAGTTGTCATAATTCCCAGCATCAGACAGTGGACTTGATACATGCTCAAACATTGTTGGAGAGACTCTCATTTCGTAGGAAAGTACATGAAGAAGATATTTGTTGGTCGATCTCACCAGAAGAGGCTTCTTGCCCTAGTGTTGACGTGAGACTTTTACAGGAAGGAGACCCAGCTCTGATGATGTCCATCCTTTTATGAACGAAAGCTCAACCCGTTTTCACCCTAAACGAGAGAGAAGGTCTCGTAGACTGCGTCAAGCTGAACGTCGTACAACGCAGTACAACGCGATTCAGCCGTCCTCTTCTGGTAAGATCGACCTACAAATCTCTTCTTCATGCACTTTTATGTGAAATGAAAGTCCCCACAACAATGTTATCTCGGGAGATTCATCGAAACCCAGTTTCTCTTCGTGTCTACATTCTAAAACTTTTCGCCGGTATTGTAGTCGGCATCATCAGTGAGTGCTGCCATTCTCCGCACCAAGCTTCGAACTCGTCAGAGGCAAGTGAAGTCAATCCTTCCACCAATGTTCTGCTGAAAACGGTTACACTATCACTCCTCTTTCTGCCCTGGCCTATCTATCTACGCCCGGAAAACAAGACCAAGTTGCGACATAAATGAATTTCACTAAAGGCCAGGCCTCTTCCATATCATACTTTCTAATGGAAGTGTCCGTGACGCAAACTTATATTTGCCAGTACAAGTTACCGCGTTACTTATATTCCGATTGAGCAGGTTTTGAAGCTATGCGTAAATCTGTATTGGTCTATTGTTGTGGTTATTTATTGTCATTCCATGTTCGATTATTAATGTACACTCTTACATTGTTTAGGCTCCTTCTGCCCCTTGTAACTCTAATGCTGGTGGCATTCACACATACGAAGGATTGCGTGTTATCTCCCCCACAGAGTTTGAGGTTCAGCTCTATCTGAATCAGATGGGTGTGTTCAATTTTGTTGATGACGGCAGTGTCCCTGGCGGAGCCGTGCTCAAGTTGTCCGACGGCCGCAAACGCTCCATGTCGCTGTGGGTGGAGTTCATAACCGCCTCCGGCTACCTGTCGGCACGCAAGATCCGAGCTCGCTTTCACGGTCTGGTCGGTCAGGCTGTCGAGAAGTGTACATACCGCGACATCCTGCGCCTGATGCCAAGCACCAGCGAGGTGAAGATCCGCATACGAGACCGAGCTAGCCTACAGATCACACCGGCCTTCCGCTGCCCGGGGCTCTGGCCCCGGTCAGCCAGTCACTGGTCCTGCCTCCCCACTTCCACCTTTCAGTCTGCCGCCAACCTTTCCCTTGTCCCTGTCTCCGGGTCCTCCGCCTCATCTTCAGCCTCCTTTTCCACCCTCTCTGGCTTGGCCAATACATCAGCTGCCTCCCCCGTCTGCCTCTCTTCGGCGTCTCCAGCGTCTGCCTCAGTCACCCAATCTACACCCATCTTCATGTCCACATGCTCCGGTTCGGTCTTTCCTGTTTCGCCGCTTGAGTCAGTTTATCCAAGTGCCAATGGGACTGCAGAACTGACGGCCTCAGCCTGGCCTTCGCCGGCCTTGGCGGCAGAAGTGAAACGTGAAGGCTTCAGCTTGTTGAGCCAGGAGTCGTTGTATACAAGAGACAGGCAGGTATGCAGAAGAGCAATCTTAATATCTTGATCATTCAAGCTTTACTTAACCTTGGTCGCTTTAGGTGATTGAAGAATCGAATGTAGTGCTTTGCCAAAATCACCCTCAGGATGCTATTGAATATCACATGTGTGATAGAAAGAGTTGCAAGAGCTTGATGGCTTCCTTGGGATAAAATTGTTATGAAAAGATGAAAAGAAGCTGGATTTCGAAGAAGCCCTTAGTAGATTAATGATGACACAACTTGCATTTCGTTTGCACAGTCAGATTGAAAGGATTCGTATATTGGCCGCCCCGGATATAGAAGAATGATTGCCTCGGAATTGTGATTATTGGATTGTGTGAAGAAGACCTCGGCTCACCGTCCTGTGAACAGAAGTTGGGTTTCGAGGAATCTCTTGTTTCATAATTGTTGAGATTACTTCCATTTCTAGTAAAAGAGTTAAGTGAAGAGATTCGAAGTCGGTTTAACCAGAAGACGATGGCGGATTCCTCTTGACCAGCTGTCGATTGGCTTTACTGGAAGATTCATGCTGACGTTGTTTCCGAGGTAATCTCCTTTCATTCCAGTGAAAAGGTGCTAAGCTTTCGTCCGTCATATGACGAACATCATCAGAACATATTATCATCGTCACAACGAAAAATAACATGAAATTGTTCGGTTATAAGTAGGCTTTTGGGACTACCGGCAGATCATATACATTAGATGCATTTACCCTACTTCCGTTGTGTTGCTGAAGGACTGGTAGATACGAAGAGTAACAGGGTTTGAATGGATCTCCTGGGATAACATTTTCGGAAAGACTTTCATTTCGTATCAAAGTACATGAGAAAGAGATTCGCTTTCATCCGAAACGATGAGGGGATCTCTCATGGACTAAGTCAATCCAAGCGTCGTATTAAGGCCAAGTGGCTGCAGTAGAACAGCAATCAGCAGTCGTCTTCTGGTGAGATCGACCTATGAGTCTCTTCGCCATGCACTTGTATTAGAAATAAAAGTTTCCCTAAGAATTAGTAGTTAAATTTTTTCCATAGGTTTCCGTTTACTTTCACATAGCTTTGCTTCCAAATAGGTATTCTTATCCAGCCTGGACTGGACTGTAACTTCGACCTCAGCACCCACATCGGGACTCAAACAGTGATGATACAGCATGCATTGTAAACATATTAACCACTACGCCACACTCCAGCAAGTGCCCTTTGGTCACAGGGCATATGTGAATTCTAAGGAATGCCAGACATTTTTCTATACCACATTCTGTGGTGTGATTGTTGATGAAGCAAACTCTTTTTTGCCATAGCGATCGATCACACTAATTCTTTTTCGCTTACTGCCAGTAGAGCATAAATATGAGATGTATTCACCTATTATATGAAGAAAAACTGAGTTTTGAAGAATTCCTTGGTGATATATTGTGACATTACTTACCATGACGGAAATTGCGTAATCTCACATGCCTGTTTTTGTAGATGAGTGTTGTACGAGCGGAAACTATTTAGAAGTAGATACGAAGAGAAACTGGGTTTCGATGAATCTCCTGAGATAACATTGTTAGGGGGACCTTCATTT